TTAAACTAAAGCTCTTAACTATTAACTACCTATAGATAGATAGCTAAAGCGAGGTCACGAACTAATAGATAGCCTAGCGACTTAGGCTACATATAAATTATTATTAGGATAATTAGTCAGAATAGATCGTAATAAATAACTTTATGGCTACTACTTTATAGTAGGACTTAATAAAAAGATCGCCTTTTTTTATTAAGTATAAATATAAGCTATATATTTTATTTAATTAGCGTATCCTATCTACGCGAGTTAACTTAACACTATCTACTAAGGACATAGAGAAGTGGGCTTACTAAATAAAAAGTATTTAAAAGAAGCGAAGGATAAAATCGAATATATATAAGTATAATAAAGATAGTAGGTAAATAAATACCGCTATAAAAAAGATTTTAATATTAGTAATTCCGTATTTATTATAATATAGAACTAAAAGATTAGTCGCCTAAGCCAGAAGCTCGCTAACTAAGCTAACGGTCTATATTATATTGGCGTAAAGGAAAAAATACCTATCGACTTAAATTATTACCTTCGATATAAGTTTATTTAGTATTCTTACCTATTGGAATATAGACCAATGCTACATAGAAAGATCTATCCTTATATTCAACATATAAGACCAGATTGCATTGATCACGTGACCAGATTTTTCTTCTATCAAAATGATGTTTTGACCACTTCTGATTCTGGTCCGCGGCCCTCCCCCGAACGATAGGCGGGACCATTTTCCTTTAGGGGTAAATGGTCCGCCTTCAGGTATGAATGGTCCGTTCCTTCGGGGGTGCCTTCAGGCATGCCTTGCCCGCGGACTTCGACTATGGTCTTCGTACCCCGGTGAACAGACTTCGACCCTCGGTCCCCTTAAGGATAGGCGGACCACTTTCCCTTAGAGGTAAAATGGTCCACCTTTAGGCATGCATAACCTGATCCTGCGGGGGTGCTTTTGGGGTGGCTTAGACCGTCGATCCTTGACATCATTCTTTTCGCTTCTCTTCGGTTCCCTTCTTTGCCACCTTCATTATGTTGCTGCCTAGTGTTTGTACGTCATTTGTATGTTATTCTAGACGTCATTTCTAGGCTATCCTAGCCTTTAAATACGTCCTTCTTGTCTAGCAGATAGAATCAAGTCAGTTCTACTTTCCTTAAGTCATTGTCCACTTTCCAAAGTCATCTCTACCTTCTTCCTTTGATCCTCAGGACTGTGGTTCTGCCTTCGTTTAGGCTATATCTGCTTATAGTCTATCCTACGACCTTTGACCTTCCACCTTTGTCTGGCACTGACTGACCCAGCCGGACTAAGGTTGATCCCACGGACTTAAGGGGCCACGATCTGCTTCGTGGTAGCTTTCCCCTTATATCCCAACATTACCTAATAAGCTTCGTCGAGTGGCTAAGACAAAACCGTTATCCGGTTAAATTATAGATCTAGCTACGCTAATTAAGGTCGATAACTAACCGGAGTAGGAAGTTAATAAAATTATAGATATTCGCCTTTATTATCGTAAGCTATAGTATAAAGCGATATAAATTAGTATTAAGGACGATAAATAGTATCCTACTAAAGATTTTAAGAATATACCCTTAAAATTAAAGGCGTTCTACGAACGTTATCCTAACCGTCTAGGACCGCCTTTAAGACTATTAGTATAGCTAAAGGCGGCTAAGGAAGACTAATTTATTAAGGATTATCGCGAAGACAGAGTTCCCTGGCCTAAGGGTTAGGCCTATTAAAAAGGGGGTAATATAACGTATAGTTTAGGGAGAGTTCGAGGAGAGGTTATATATAGTGAGCTAGTCCTAAATAGGATATAGGGGGAGGGTATTATTTATAGTTATTCTCTTTCTCTTTCTCTCTTCCCTTTCTTTCTCCAGTTTAGAACTTTTCGAATAGCACACGACTTCTTTCGTACTGGCTTATGACACTCTGAAGGAAAATGGTCCCGCCTATCGTTCGGGGGAGGGCCGCGGACCAGAATCAGAAGTGGTCAAAATATCATTTTGATAGAAGGAAAATCTGGTCACGTGATTAATATCATTTTGATAGAAGGCCCCAAATTGGTCACGTGATCACTGCAATGCTGATCTTATATGTTGAACATAAGAATAGATCTTTCTATGTAGCATTGGTCTATATTCCAATAAATACTTATATTAGGAGTTTAGCTATCTTAGTTACTTAGGCTTAAATAAAGTTATTCGCCTACGAGCGTAGTGGCTAGGGATACACTATAATATCGAAGAAGTTACGCGAACTTATCCGAATTATTAAGTCTTATAAGAATTATAGAAGAGCCTCGAACGCGAAGCTTTATAACTAATTATATCTATAAGACTTTAGCTATTTAAATATTAGGGAATAAATCTAATCGGATAGCTACCTACTATACTAAATAGTAACTATTAGATAATTACTATAATTAATTATATTATTAGTTAGCTAGTTATATAAGCTATAATAGATATTACTAAAGAAGCTATCGGATATTTTCTTTTTAAAAAGATCTTTATATATTATAGTGTACTAAAGGAACTAATCTCTAATAATAGCCTTAATATCCTAGCTAAAGCTATATATTACTTTATAAAATTACTAAAGACCTAATATAGGATAATAACTCCCTATTACCCTTATATAAATAGAAAGATAGAAAATTTAAATAGAATTCTTAGATAGATACTTACTGAGTATCTAATAAATAAGCTTATAAAAGCTTAGGATCTTTATTTATATTAAGTATTTTTTGCTACGCGAGTATATAAATATTTAGTTATAGGATTTAGTCTATTTTATTTAGTATATAGTATTTATTTATAAATCCCTAGTAATTTATTTAATAGCCTAAAAATAGAAACCTTACACACTAATACTATCCAAAATCTAAGTAATACGCGTACGAAAGCGAACGAACTACTTCTTATATAGGCTATTGAGATTCTGGAGGTGGGAAAGTGTGTTCCATTCAGTAAGTGTACGAAGGAGTAGATATATGGTAGCCGTGCGGACTAATACGGGTCCGTACGGCAGAAAAAGTTAGGTAACGTAACCGTTTCCCCGTAATAAGAAGGCCCTATTATTATATCCCCGCCCGACCCCACATCATCTCAACTTCCAAGTTCCAAGGTTCCAAGGTTTATCTTCTGATTCCTAGCAACTCACGGAAAATGGCGTGGCCACTTCCCCCAGAGATAACTGGCCGTATTGTGTCACTCCTCGAAAACCCATTGACTCGTATAGACACCAAGCTCGGATTGGCTCAATATGCTTCAGTGAATCGCGACTGGCAGCCTATTATCGAGGAGCGAAGCTGGGCGAAAATCCAAGTCAAGACAGGAACCCCGTTGAATCTAGACGTATTTGAAAGATTGACAACGGATCCACGACGCCAATCATATATTCGGGATATCGAATTGATCGTGGAGCTCGAGCCTTATGATGAAGCTGCCAGAGCTCATTTCGAGACAGAATCTGAGCATGAGCGCAATAATCAGATCTTCTCCGAAGCAATCCGCTCAGTCCTTCAAATCGTTGCGAAATGGAGACCATCGCAAGGTATCTCGCTCTCCATCAAAGTTCAGTCCCCTAGTGATCTGGTTGCTACTCCAAATAGACTGAGGCGAATAAAGGCCGCCCGTGGCGAGCGGACTGCAGATATTTTGAACCGCAGATTTGAGAGAAACTACCTTCGACTTAATGCATTCGAGAGCCAGACAGCACCAATCAGCATTGTGCATAATCTCAAAATAGAGGCTTTAGCTGACAGACGACAAATCGAGGCGGTTTCGTGCGCGCGTCTGGTCTCGAGATTTCCTAACCTCCATACACTGAAGTTGCTGTTGAATGACACTTGCAAACGCGATAAGGGTCTAAGAAAACGCAACCGCGACGGTATGTTCTATCTACAGCTAAATAATCTATTCTTCACTGCATAGCATGTTCATTCTCCCAGTTTACTAATGGTGTGTTTAGAATTGGCTGCTCATTTTCACCTTTTACCGCCCAGCATAAAGAATTTACACTTTCATTTTAATTATGGGCCACCTATGAATCACAACTTCTCCCCAGATGAGATCACAGACGAAGGCGTGGATCCTCTCAGCTTGAAACTACATGAGTTCTCTCAGCAATTAGAGACACTCAGTATCGACGGAATGACATTTGGAAATGAGCTTTTCTGGCCACCGGAATCAAACGATAACCCGCCATCATGGCCTGATCTGAAAACCATTAGCATTGATTACATACCCACAACCCCGTCCGGGGAATGGCTCTTTGTTGACCGTTCTGATCGCGATGAGGACGATCAATATGAGTCCATGGATTCAGATCCACATGATGAATGGCCGGATTACGTGAGAACACCACTCGAAGATCGCAGCAGCGGGCCCTTCCGAGAAGTCAGTGTGCCAGGTCTCTTCAATGAGCTATATATGGCTGTGGGCCGGGCAGCATTGTGTATGCCCAAATTGGAGGACCTGCGTATGGATACAGAATCGGGAAGAGCCCATCATCGGTTCAGATATTCCACCGAAGGCGAGATATGCGCAACATGGTCTGACCGTCTCGGATTCCAGCCCGAGGAAAGGGTTTTGGACCTGTGGAAGCAAGTGGCTTCTGAACATACCGGTCAATCCCTCACAGTCAAATTGACCGATAATTAAGAAGGGACGAACCAGAATATCACCGGTTGCCTTTTGGGAATGTTTGAAGGTTGATGATATTGTATTTCAGCTGTTCTCATTCTAGGCTTTTGTTTTTAATTTCGAGCGGCGATGTGGATCGACGGGATCATGCGATTCTCATTTCGACACCAATTAGATTTTCCAGGAAATAGAACACTAAGATGTCTCTTCCTTTTCGACCTTTCCCTGAAGCGTACTATATATGACCGATTACCATATTATATAGGCTAGGCCTGACTGAAAGCTCTCCCGAGTAGAACTTTCGCCATATCACACTCAGGTGATCCTATGAATGAGATTATAGAACCCCATTTGACCAGAAACTAAGACGAGACACCAATACAGTAGGCCTCCTTTGCCCAAAAGCTTTGTGCGGAAGAAAATGATCAGTGACAACTTGAAGAGGTGGAGCAAAGATTAGCGGAAGGGGGAGACTCACTTCTCACAGGCATTGTTGAGGGCAGGATTCCACTTGTCTGCAACAAATTATGAAGTTAGCGGCTATCTAAACCGTGTATCCTGGACTAGAACTGACATAGATTCGCAAGTGTGATTTTGTTGCGGTCGGCGAATGTTTGGCACCCATCATCGGTCTGGGCTAAGGCATATGCATCGCAGTTTGATGGGATATCTGCCTGTGTAGGACCTGGTGGAGTGATGCTTGTCCCGGTGGATGTCTGGCTGGCGACTGAAAAAGTTGTTGTTGTGCTGATGGTCGTCGGGGCCTTCACACAATAGGCATCATCAATTTCAAGATCAGTGCAATCCTCTGTATGAGCATATTGATTAGTCTATTTTCCTTGGTTGCCTCTCTCGTGAAATCGTAGAACATACCTCCAATTGCTGGATTCCAGGCGTAGAATTGGGCCTGAGAGATGGAATACTCCTTTGCAATGCCCGGGCATGTGTCATTTGCCTTGACAACGTACCACTCTTCACAGCCTGAGACTATTCCGGTCTGTGTAGGCCCTGGGGCACCACCAGTGGCTGTTGTAGAGGTAACGCTGGAAGTTTGGTTGTAGGCCACATCTTCCCATCCAGGCCCTTGGACACAATACTAGTAGATTAAATTAGCAGTCGCAAACCTTTCACGGATAACAATCAACTAACCGAAGCCTGAATCCATAGGTTGGTGCAATCGGGACCTAGAAATTCTGATGAGAAATCTGTTATAACAGATCGAAATGATAATACACGCACCGACTGCAGGGTTCCACTCATAGAGAGCAGAAACCGGTATTATTGTTGGCACGGCAAATAAAGTCACAAGTGTCGCCTGAGAACACGAAAACTTAGTTTGCGTTTGATATAACGGTTTGGTTGGATGAAAGTCTAGCTCACCATCTTCAGTGTCATACCAGTCATAGCACTCAGTTGTAGCATTGGCGGTCGAATTAATCGGAGCGGGTACGTATGGCAAGGTGGTGGCGGGAACAGCTGTATGGTAGTTTCAAAGTTAGCTCCTGCTGGGCAGCAATATTCTGCATGGGCTCTTGAACACATTACTCACACGACTGGTTGTAGAATGAGCCACAGTACTCAGTCTCATTTGTGAGTTTGCATCCTGTCATGGTATAGTTCTGCCCATTAAGAACACTCGGGTTCCAGCGCACCCAATTGGTTGTGTCAACGCCAAACAAAGACGCTGCCTGGTAGCAGGGAATAGGCCCAAAGTCGTTCTCGAACATTTCGAAGCACCCGTCAACGAGCCACTAGCTAAGGGATAGGAAGCGGTCGTCGTGGTAATATTCTTATATGAAGGTTTCGTGGCTGAAGGAAGACTATCCCAAGTCATTGAGGGGTCTGCAGTGAATGTGGCCATGCTAGTTGTTGTCGTTCCGCCGTATCCAGAATAAGTGGAAATGTCACCCACAGCCTGTACACAGTAGGAGGAGTCTGCAATAACGGTTAGTCGTGTCCTGCTTAGGGTTGCTCAGTGGCGAAGGAGTCGATATTCACCTAGCCAGAGATTTGTGCAGTTCGCATCGATTTCAGGATTCAAAAAGTTGAAATCGCTTAGTGTGATGCCAAATTGCATTGATATCTGTGCGCAACTGGCTAAAAGATGTCAGCGCAGGATTCAAGAGAAGTACAGGCAGTCGTCACTTACTATCTGCCTCGGTGACATTAAACCACTGTGCACAGTTGGTGTTTGACCCCGGGCCAATATTGGTCGGAACAGAAGCAGCTGTATCCACCGTAGTGGTGCTGCCGATGTCAGCTTCAACATATCCGACAGGGTTGCTGACACAAATAATGTGACCCTTCTCGTTATCCCAATTGGCACAGACGGGATCAATCGCCGAATTCCAGGAGAGGAGCTGAGTCAGAGTTAAGTTGAAGGAAGAAGCAACTCCCAGAGATGTATCATTCTGTTGTACAAAGTATGGCTCGCATGTGTTCTGGACACAGAGCTCAGTGAAATCCGCAGGCCAGTTCGCACACCCGCCAGCCAAGCCATTGACGCTCAAAAGCTGATCTGTGGCCACGGAGTTGCTTTCAGCAAAATCATCGCAGGTACTACCAGTTGGAATTGGAACATATGATCCAGTGCATGTCTGTGTTTTCGAATAATTGGCAATAATAGTACTGAATAATCACAGAAGAACGTTAGTTGGGAAAACGCAGCTAACACAAATCCATATTCTCACTTTTGATCGCTCATGAACACTGGCGTTGGAGTTGGAATCGGGGCCACTGTGACACCACACGAAGATGCAGAAGAAGAATATTGGCTGGCAAGCTCATCAATATAACCCATAGGGTTCTGCAATTGCATACGTATGATTCCGAGGCCGCAGTCTCCACATTCATCTACTTCAGCGCCGTTTGAAGTTCCATTTGTGCGCAAAGTATAGCAAAAAGTGGAAGGATTGGCTCTAGTTCAAAGGTTAGGCAATATCCATACTGTAGTGGGAGAATTGGTGACATAATGAGCCTATGTGTGGCCTCAGGCATGATTTAATGTCTGCAGTGCATAGTATATCTCCAGACACACTTTGTCACAAGCCAGTACGAAAGAAGTCGTGTGCTATTCGAAAAGTTCTAAACTAGAGAAAGAAAGGGAAGAGAGAAAGAGAAAGAGAATAACTATAAATAATACCCCCCCCCTTGTGTCCTATTCGGGGCTAGCTCACTATATATAACCTCTCCTCGAACTCTCCCTAAACTATATATTATATTACCCCCCTTTTTAATAGGCTTAGCCCCTAGGCCGGGGAACTCTGTCTTCGCGATAATCCTTAATAAATTAGTCTTCCTTAGCCGCCTTGTATCGATAATAATATATCGACGCTGCTAGGCCTCTAAAAGCGAGGGAAAGAGAAAAAGACGAGTTTAGAACTATATTATAAGCTAGTACAAAAGAAGTCGTATGCTATTCGAAAAGTTCTAAACTGGAGAAAGAAAGGGAAGAGAGAAAGAGAAAGAGAACAACTACAAACAATACCCTCTCCCCCGTGTCCCATTTGGGGCTAGCTCACCACATGTGACCTCTCCTCGAACTCTCCCTGAACCATGCGTCACACTTAGAGGGAGACAAGTCATCTACCTAATTCATTCAGGATTCACCCAATTTCTTCTACCCATAATACAGTATTAAGATTATCCCGCACGGCCGCAATAGGGCATCAGTACGGCCTCATCCAGCATCCTCTACACCAGACAGGCAGTGTGTGTGTGTGTGTTGTCTAGTCTGTATCGCCAGATAGCTATCGAGCCGTTCCTATTTTATATTGGCGTCCCCGGGAAGGCTCTTTTATTAAGGTATATCACTATACGAAGAAATATATACCTAAAGGGTAGAGATCGCCTTTGACCCTGAAGGCTATAAGACTATCTGAGACCCTAAGCGGGAGACTATATTTACTAGTGATTGCGACGGTATATAGTCGGTGCGGACAAACGAGAGTAACTAGCCGAGATATAGTGTTCTCCTAAATATACCTAGTTCCTACGAGGAATACTATCGGACTAATATACGGGAGATACGGCGGTGCTTTAGATACTACTAAAGATATAGCCTATCTAATTAAATACGGTAGCTAAGTAGGGGTACCCGGGTATCCGATAGCTATAGCACTCTATTATATAGATAATATTAATATAAATAATTCTATATTATAAATTATAAGAAGAGGAAGCGGCCTTAATAAGAAAAAAGGAGGAAAAAAATAATTATTAAAGAGATATAATTAAAAGTAAAGCGTATAGAGTTAGTATTTCTTTTCGGCCAAAAAGCTATCTCTTTTCTATAAGTAAGTAATAGCGTATAGTATATAAGGTATAATAGTTCCTAAGCTATTAGACCCTAAGGGTATTCTAACCTTTATAGATTACTATAAATCTATACTAAAAAGATCCGAATTAACCCTAAGTAGTAATAATTATATAGATAATATAGATTATAAGTATTAGTCACTATTATCCTAAGCCGAACCGCCTAATAGGGTATAGGCTATACCTTATCCTTATATAGTTTAAGTGCCTTATTTCTCCGTATTACTAGCTTTAGGACCCTTAGGAGCACTATACTTTAATAAGACTAATATCTCTGAGTTCCTAGAGAAGCTATAGGATATATATTTTAGATATAGCGTTAAAAGCGATAAAGATATTATAGGTATATTACCTTAGTACTACGCGAAGGTCGCTAAGTCTTAGGTAAAGAGATAAGACTCCTAGCTAAGAAAGGACTAAGATATCTTTAAGGAAGCTTTCTTAGAGTATTTCTATAATAATAATAGCGAGTAGTAAAGGTATATAAAGATATACCTTTAATCCCTTATATAGGTTAAGCGAATAATATAGGATAATATCCGCTTATATCTTAATAAGTTCGATAATATCTCTGACTATATTTATTTAAAAGGCGAGGTTAGTAATATAAATAAAGTCAGCCTCCTTATCTAAGGACTTCTGTAGTAGCTTAAGGAGAAGATTATTAAAAGATATTCTTGTAAGTAGTTACTAAGAGGGACACTAATTACTTATTCGGAGATATATATAGTAATTAGGTTATATATTAGAGAGGAAACCGATATTTAGAGAATTCTTTTAACTATTAAATCTTCTCTGAGTAACCCTAAGCGTAACTAATAACTTTATCCCCTATAGTAATTGCCTACTACTATTATAAAGTCTTAGGAAAATCGTTAACTAACCGCTAGTTAGGTCTAGCGTTAAGATAAATAGGATAGGAAGCTCAGAGAAATATAATTATAGATAGAGGCACTTACTCTTAAGCTATAGGCTAGCTAAAATATAAGAAATAATATTTAGTACGAGCCTAATAGAAGAAACCCTTCGAATAGGAATTAGATAATTTTAGGCACTATTAAATAACTAGGCCCGAGACTACGCGTGATCCTAGGATAATTAAACTAAGAAGCCTTCTAAGCGTAATATAATAACTAAAAGAAATAGGAGTTATATAGAGTATTCGTATAGCTAAGTAGTAATATCGCTTATGTTACTCTTCTTGCTCCCACTTATCTTACGAACCTAAATATATCTGTTTACTCTATTATTATTATTATGCTTCTTAGTACCGCGCCTATATAGGAGAAGCTTAAGGAAAGCGAGGATAAGGAAGTAATTATCCTATTCGGTACTATTAACGTTATTAAAGGTCGTCCTATAAAGCGCCGCAGAGACCATAATATTACTAGAATAAGAAACTCCTAGACTAATAGATTCTAACTATATATTACTAATACTAATAATAATAATATAATATAAGATAGATAGCCTAAAGAGACTTAAATTATATAGCCTTAGTAAGAAGTTACTCCGCTATATAGCTAGGTTCCGAGAAGAGTTTATGGCCTTATTAACTTAGATATTATATAGCGAAGATCTTAGCTTTTAGATATTATAATATAAAAGATATAGGAAACCGAGATCACCCTTACGATTAGTGAGCTCGCTAGGTCTACTCTAAAGATACGCGCTAAAATAGGTAAAGATATTAGTATAGATATTATTAATTAGTATATTAATAAGGTACTCTCGTAAATATATATTTAGTCGAACTTCGTAGATATCTCTCTCTTAAAGGAAGTATTGGAATATAGACCAATGCTACATAGAAAGATCTATTCTTATATTCAACATATAAGACCAGCATTGCATTGATCACGTGACCAATTTGGGGCCTTCTATCAAAATGATATTAATCATGTGACCAGATTTTTCCTTCTATCAAAATGATATTTTGACCACTTCTGATTCTGGTCCGAGGCCCTCTCCCAAATGATAGCCAGGACCATTTTCCTTCAGAGGTAAATAGTCCGCCTTCAGGCATGAATGGTCCGTTCCTTCGGAGGTGCCTTCGGGCATATCTTGCCTGCGGACTTCGACCATAGTCTTCGGACCTCGGTGAACAGACTTCGACCCTCGGTCCCCTTAAGGATAGGCGGACCACTTTCCCCGGTATGCATAGCTTGATACTGCGGGGAAGCTTTCGGGGTGGCTGAAACCATCGATCCTTGACATTATTCTTTTGGCTTTTCTTCGGTTCCCTTCTTTGCCACCTTTATTATGTTGCTGCCTAGTATTTGTATAATATTCTAGACATCATTTCTAGGCTATTCTAGCCTATAAATATGTCCTTCTTTTCTAGCAGAAAGAATGAAGTCAGTTCTACTTTCCTGAAGTCATTTTCCACTTTCCAAAAGTCATCTCTACCTTCTTCCTTTAATCCTCAGGACTGTGGTTCTGCCTTCGTTTAGGCTATATCTGCTTATGGTCTATCCTACGACCTTTGACCTTCTACCTTTGTCTGGCACCGACTGACCCAGCCGGACTGAGGTTGATCCCACGGACTTAAGGGGCCACGATCTGCTTCGTGGTAGCTTTCCCCTTATATCCCAACAGGAAGTAAAAGGTAAGATTAACTAAATTATAAGAAATATTACTAAGTATTATCGGGAGATAGGTAGTCCTATTAATATAAAAGATCTAGCCGCGAAAGTAAGCTACTAAAATACCTAGATAATACATATCTCGCCTATATCTTCTCCTTATAAATACTTTAGAGACCTCCTATTTATAATAGTTTCTATTAGCGGATAAGTAGTTAAGATATATATCGATATTAGTTCGTTAGTTAATATTATCCGCAGAGATATCGCCTAATCTATATAGGCGTAGATATAGCTAAAGCTAAGGCTAAAGCTTGTTCCTATTAATAGCGGTAAGTTCGTAGTTAGTGCTTATATTAAGAATCTGCTAATTAATATTAATAATATTATAACTAAGTTATATATTATAGTTAGGGATAGTTATACGAACGATCTCCTACTTAGTAGGATATAGGCGAAAGACGTATTACTATAAATCTCTAAGAAAGGTAATAGGAGGGTTATCTATATAATATCGAGCTAAGATAAAAGGAAGTGTGTTAGCTTTAAAGTATATTATCTACGGAATAAAGAATCCTTCTATAAAGACTAACTCTAGCCTAAAGAATATAAGACTTTTAGTTTAAAAGCCTAAGTAAGTATTTAATAGCTACCTTAATACCTATCTCTATCCTAGCGGCTAAGTCTACTAAGACTATTTACTTAATAGTACTATCGAATATTATAAATATAATAATTACTAAAGAAGAAATAATAAAAATATAGCGATAAGAGAAAAAAAAATTATATAGAGGAGTTAAATTATAGGATAGATATATTTTTGGCTAAAAAGATCTCTTCTTATCTTAGTGCCTTATAGATCTAATATCTAACGGATCCTTATTATCGCTAGAAGACT